CTGACTTTTTTGAACCTGACGGACCTCTTGAAGATCGCGTTCTTGAGAAGTAACGCGAGGGTCGCGTTTGAAAACACTAGGCCGAGGCCTGCGTTTAAATGATGAACCTGACCTCTGAGGGTCAAGTTTTGGTTGAACGCGCCCCTGAGGGTCGCGTTTGGTTGGTGAAACAGACTCCTGAGAGTCATGCTTCGTTTGAACGCGCACCTGAGGGTCGCGTTTAATTTGTGAAACAGACTCCTGAGAGTCATGTTCAATTGGAACGCGCCTATGAGGGTCGCGTTTGGTTTTGGCAGCTCCATTCTGAGGGCTGCGTTTTGAGTGAACAACGCGCCACTCAGGGTCGCGTTTGAGCTGTATCAGCCTAGGCTGATAGTTGGGCTCATTACCACGCAGTGAGCGTTCTTCTTTGGGGACGCCAAGTTCGGTTGGATCTTTAGAAACGCGATCTTCGCGTTGGGCCAACAATCGGCTTTCTCGTAAGTGTGCTCGTCGGATGGATCTTCTCCGTCGGCGAGCGGCGTTCTTTTTGGCTTGTTTCAAAGCCTTAGCAGCAACGTCGTTGACGTTTATGGAACTCGTCTCTTCCAGAGGCCGTTTGTGGCCCGAAGCACGCTGTGCTGACGCGGACGTGGGCTTTTCAGCCAGCAGAGCCAATTTGAGTTCCTGGCCGAAGGAGAGGGCTTTCTTCGGCTCTTCAACAACAGAATTGATCTCCTTGGAGATCTTGCGGACACCATGCTTAGCCTTGGGGCTAAGCGATCCAGAGGATAGGGCTTCCTCGTATTTCGCCTGATCAAACTCTACGACGAGAGTTTCTACAGTCGTTCCCAAGAGGTGGACGTCGGACTGAGCCACCACTTCATCGTCGGAAAAGCTAGTCCCCAGCGGAGTCGCCATCTTTTGTTTGTTGGAAAAATTGTAAAGAAGAGAATAAAGAAAATGTGACTTTGATTCCTTTGATCTCGGTTACAACTTGATTACAAAAGAGAGGAAAACGAATTTGATTTTCCCCTTTGTTTAAAACTGGGTTCTTCTTGGCAGCGATGGAGTGCTTCCTTCGATTGATTGCGTCGAACTTGCTCTCCGTTGACGATCCGACCGTCTTTATCTCGTGGGAACGATGAACTTTCGTGGAAAGTTTTATGAATAACTCTGAATGAGTTTAAGAACTCTGAACGAGTTTGAACTCTGTGAATAGAGTTGTTGGAACCGAAAATTCGGTTAATAATCAAGCTGTTTTTCTGTTGTTGAAGGATTCTCTCAGATTTGATTTTCTGAGGTTGGTTCAAAAATCCTATCTCCAAGGATTTCGTTGCTGTTGTTGCCGAATCTCCAAACCTGAGTGGTTTTGATGATAAAGAATCCAACCCTTGATCTGATTATCAAAAATCCGATCCTTTAACTCTGTCGAGTTTGTTTTAGAACTGAAAATCTCCAACCTGTATGGTTTAGATCTTTTGAATCCAACCTGTGTGGTTCAGATGCCAAAAATCGTTGTCGGAAGTGTCGTTGGATTGTAACCTTTCTCGATCTATGTGAAAAGTCCTCTATTTGCCGCTTTCGATCACCGACCCGAAAGCTATTTGATTGTAGCTTTTGTTGTAGGAGCTAGACGGGAATCAACATCCATAGTGTCTTAAAGATGAATATTCGCCCATAGCTCTCTACCAAGCAACTATTCGACTATATGTTTCGATCATCGACCCGAAAGCTATTTGATTGTAGCTTTCGTTGTAGGAGCTAGACGGGAATCAACATCCATAGTGTCTTAAAGATGAATATTCGCCCATAGCTCTCTACCAAGCAACTCACCAACTGAGTCCAACTTTTTATTTCTGAAATCGTCCCACTGCTCATCAGCATCTCTAATAGTTGCTACGATATTAGCCATGCTGTTGTCACAGCCATCAAGATCAATCATCTCAGAGGTGAGGTCGCGTTTGTGGCAATTGTGGAGTTGCGGATACAGTGATTGGGAAGTCGTCTGATTGTGACCTCCGTTGTCGGAGCTTGTTTGAATAAGCTATCTATTGTGATTTTTAGACAGCCTACAGCAACTCTCGAGAAAATAACACAGAAATTGTCTATCAACTCCTGCTTTGTGGGACTTTGCATGTGGTGACCTCCGTTGTCGGAGCTTGTTTGAATAAGCTATCTATTGTGATTTTTAGACAGCCTACAGCAACTCTCGAGAAAATAACACAGAAATTGTCTATCAACTCCTGCTTTGTGGGACTTTGCATGTGCCGTGAGTGCTTTGGCTCGTTGACCACCGATTCAAAGATCGTGAGGGTGCTTAGGGATCTCTCCTTCGTTTATCGAAGTAAAGATTTGAAAACGAATATCTTATCGATGTAAGATGTCCGTTCTTCCAAAGATCAAGTCTGAGCTTAGATCTCTAGGAATCACCGAATGATGCTTGTCAAAGGGTGAAAGTTCTCTCTCTTCTTCAAAATCACTGAAAGCTCAAGCCTCTTCTGCCCCCAAATGCTCTCTCTCCTTTACTTCGTGTTTAGGGAGGTATTTATAGGGGTCTCAGTGCACCACAGTTGAAACGGGGGCGAAATAACTGACCGAGTGTTTTCTCTTTGGCCGCTGCAGTCTACACTGCCGCAGCTATTGGCGCGGCAGTATAGGTTTCCGCAAGAGGTTGTAACTGACCCCTATATCTGCTCCTACGTGGGTGAAAATCCCCTCATAACGTGGGATAAACGGTTTTGGAACCGTTCGACTTATGTTTGAGTGAGTCAAACGCCCAATCTGGCGTTCAGAACCTCAACTTCGTGTTCTTTGAATTGAGACGCGAAGTTGGGTGTTAGCTGAACACCATTGAACGCGAGGGTCGCTCACGTTTGGTTTGTGCCTTGATGACGCGAGAGTCGCTGTTGGTTGAACACCTTTGAACGCGAGGGTCGCTGTTGGTTGAACACCTTTGAACGCGAGGGTCGCTCACGTTTGGCTTGTGCATTGTCGACGCGAGGGTCGCCGTGGCTTGACGACGCGAGGGTCGCTGTGGCTTGCAAAGTTATGACGCGGGGATGACACCCGCGTTTCAGAAGGAGTTAGCTGATTTGTAACTTCTTCTGTAGAGCGTTGCAAGGACCGTTGTTCAGTAATCCTGGCTTTAGCTGTTGTGGAGTGTGAAAGTCGTCAGATTGTAACTTTCACTGTAGATTGTGAAGACTGCTGCATAGAGTTTTCATCAGTTGTCGGAAGTGTCGTTGAATTGTAACCTTTCTCGATCTATGTGAAAAGTCCTCTATTTGCCGCTTTCGATCACCGACCCGAAAGCTATTTGATTGTAGCTTTTGTTGTAGGAGCTAGACGGGAATCAACATCCATAGTGTCTTAAAGATGAATATTCGCCCATAGCTCTCTACCAAGCAACTATTCGACTATATGTTTCGATCATCGACCCGAAAGCTATTTGATTGTAGCTTTCGTTGTAGGAGCTAGACGGGAATCAACATCCATAGTGTCTTAAAGATGAATATTCGCCCATAGCTCTCTACCAAGCAACTCACCAACTGAGTCCAACTTTTTATTTCTGAAATCGTCCCACTGCTCATCAGCATCTCTAATAGTTGCTACGATATTAGCCATGCTGTTGTCACAGCCATCAAGATCAATCATCTCAGAGGTGAGGTCGCGTTTGTGGCAATTGTGGAGTTGCGGATACAGTGATTGGGAAGTCGTCTGATTGTGACCTCCGTTGTCGGAGCTTGTTTGAATAAGCTATCTATTGTGATTTTTAGACAACCTACAGAACCCCCTCCAAAGTTTTCGAAAGTTCGCGGTTGACTGGGACGAATTTTCGGAATACTTTGGATCCCAGAATTTGGTGGATTGATTGCTCTTCCCGCCTGATCGAGTCAGATGATTTCGCCGTTGTTGACTGTACTCTATCTGTACTCCTCCAACAGACTCCCCAGTGGAGTCGTTTGTTTCTTCCTGGCTTTGATCGCTTTGGTAACCAAGAAATTGCTGTTCATGGTGGTCTCAACACAGAGATGCCTTCTGCATTTGAGAATTGGAACGCGTGGGTGAGCCCAGCGTTGGGAAATTTGAACGCGCAGGTGAGCATCGCGTTTGGAAGCTGAATCAACTCGAACGCGAGGGTCGAGTTTGGGCGGGCTGATGGCCTCGAATCCCGTCCGTTAGGATTATCAGCACGTTCCATCGTGCTTGAAACCGCTCTCCCACGACCTTTAACCACTTTTTTCGTGGTTTAACTGCTTGTCCACGTCAGCACACATTCTATTTCTGAAACGCCGCCACGTAGACTTCAAAACATCATCGAATAACTGCCTTATAACTGCCACAGCATCCTTCTTTAATTGCCGCGGCACCATGGGCTGCCGCGTCTTAGCCGCGGCACAATAGGCTGTCGCGCCTTAGCCGCGGCACCATAAGCTGTCGCGCCTTAGCCGCGGCACCTTAGGCTGCCGCGCCTTAGCCGCGGCACCCTGTCCTGCCGCGCCGCCATGTGTTGCCTGATGACGTGTATATTGTTCTTCCCTGTTGTTTTGAGTGGTATTTGGATGCCTGTAAGCATTTTTTGACGCCTACACCTCTCAACACTCAAATTCGTATATTCTCCTCGATAGTTAGAATACTACTGTTGAATGAGCTCTCTTGGTCCTATAGTCTACCGAAAGCATGTTATTGACTCTTGAAACTTGAATTGCGAAGGAACACCTTTTTTAGGATGGATTATACATGCAAAAGCTGCTTGATGTCTGGTATAGTTTCATTTTTTAAGTCATTAAGCAGGCATATTATTGCATCGTCAAATATAAAAAATAACATGTTCATCTGATATATCTGGTATAGTTTCATTTTTTAAGTCATTAAGCAGGCATATTCTTGCATTGTGTCAAATATAAAAAATAACATAACCAGCTCCCAATGGATATAATTTTAATGTATGTTGATACTTGCTCTCTGGATACTTAAGATCGAAGTCAAAGCTAAATGAAGTTGGTATCTATGAATAGGGAAAGCATGAACAGCAGTATGAGCAATCGGCAGAATTTTAGCAACAACTGAAACTGAAAGTACACGAGATCTTAACTAATCAAGAGTGGCACCTGAGAAAAATGGCAATGAGGGTATGCTGAACCTTATGAACTTATTTTTATCAGTCAGTCATTTAGTAGTTAAGTAGTTTTTTAGACTCTGTTATGTAATCTCCAAATTGCAGATATCAGAAGAAGAAGGAATACTGAAGAACGACGAAGAAGAAACAAAGGAGATGTGGAAGAGGAAGCGTGAACACGAGGAGCAGCGGGAAGGGACAAGAGGAAAAAGGGTATGCGTATAATAGTTTATTCTGATAAAATTCATATTAGTTGATTGTTCGATATATTTTAACAATATTAACGGTAAAATGTCATTCTCTGCAGAAACACTATTGTAGTTTTACTAAGTTGCGCGCGATTGTTCCATTTCATAATTTGAATCTATATCTTGTAATCCTAATATCCTATAATGCGATGAGAGCCTCGCTAGCAAATCGAAGGCTATTCTTAATTTAGCAAACTTGATTGCTCAAGGTCTTGGTTTCTAACATTTTCTTCCGTACCCAACATTACATGAAACTGTTTGACTAAAATCTACTAATCATCCCGACTTTGTTGTGAGTTTAGGTATCCAGTTGGAGAGATTTTATGAAAGCTGGGGAAAAGGTAAAGAAATTAAAGCCTACAATTTTTTAAAATTATAAATTTGCCAATAAACGGAGTAATATGGTAAATATCAATGTTTCTTCTGTTTTTGGTTTTGCAGGGTAAGAAAGGGGAGACTAATTAAACCACCAAAGCTCAAAACAGAAGATCCAAACAAGTCCTCTGTGCAGAGACCAGTGAAGCGAGGTTGAAGTTCTCCTACCGCTAATGAAATAGTCGATAAAAATGATCATATTATAACTCGACAAAAACAGATTTCTCAGATATTACAAGTGAATCTGTTTGAACTTTATAATCTGTGAAAGTGTAACGGAAATAAATTTCATGTAAGGGGGTTGGATTCGTTCGAATTACGCATGTTGTAAGCTTTAGAACAAGGTTATTCTCTTTGTAAGATGATATCCTTTCAGGGGTTTCTGAAGCTTATGTAATGTCCTAGAACTGTCTAATCTCTCTTTTCTGTATTCTTTTTGACAAATCCCAAAGGCTCATCGAACAGAGCTATGAAAGTTTGGTTTACTGAATGTTAGGGAAGGCATTGCAACTATCACAACCCCAAATTTTCGAATCTAGAAGGAATATTGGAGCTGGACTAAACCTGTGAAAAGTCCTCCAAAAATATACATTCATTAAAAGATCATCAAAATAATCTCTTCATTGAACTAAAACCAAAACTAAATATTCTCTATAATCCCAAAAGTTAGCATTAATCCAATTAACTTGATATAAATAAATATTTCTCAACTTGAAATAAAACACAACCTAAAGGAAAAAATCTCATTATTACAAAACTCTCAATTTGTCAACTAAACATCAAAAACTTTATTTAACCTTCACCTAGAAGACAATAACAACCTCGAATTTTATTCCTTACTTTGTTCTAAGAATTTAAAAAATCATCAATTCCACCTAATCCCGAGTCTCTGAAAAGACTGAAAACAACACAATGAGTTCACAACTCAATAAGTGGATAAATTCGTACAGTGAACACTAGTTTTGCAAAAATTCAAATATTTCAACAAATGATAAGCATAATATAAGAATGATAGAGAATCATCAATGAACTCTAGCACTTGATGCAAATATTTAAGAAAATTTAAAAATCATGAAATGGAAATAAGCATGTCACATCTCAATGCGATCAACACTTTATGCTCCGGTTGACTCGGTAAACCCCACAATTATTAAGCCAGTGGTTCCGGAACGGTGAGACCCAAATTTTGGCTCTTAGGGCTAAAATAAAATCTCATAGAGGCACATTGAGCCATGTTTTAATAACTTACATATATCCGACATAAACCGGTATATTGACCTGAGATGCATATATTTTTAAGAAAGCGAACAAAGTTCATATAACCAAATACTTTATAAAGAATTGCCAAAAGCCAACCAGTAGTGAAACCAACCACATATGCATCACAACTTACTACTATATGAAAAGATATGATTATCGAGAAAGAAATAAGCATAGGCTTATACCAAATATCCATGTGCGTCACCTCCAAATTAATACTTAACATGTGAGTAAATCACACAAAAGGATATAATTCATCAGACATAAATCCGCATATACTCAATATAATTTTATATGAAAAATACGCAGTGCACAATGCGTAAATTCACCACTTACATTAACTTGATAGGCAATCCAATCCAATTCCTGACCATTCGACAGTACCTCTAGAATTTCCTAAAGATTAAATTCAAACAACCATCAATACCATCCTCCTATTAAACAATTGATACATTAAACATACTAAGCCTATTCAAAAGATCATAATAATATTACTAGCAAACTATTTTCTGTTTTTGCTTGCTACAAAAAGACAAAAGAGCCAATAGCTTCCATCTAAAATCCAAACAATTAATATATTCTATATTCTACAAGTTACCTGCATACAACCATCTTTGTTAAATAATTTATCATATAAGATGATATAAAATCTATAGGCGTTGAAAGAAGACAAGTGCTGCACTATTACCTATAGAAGCCCAAGTAAGACGTAGTCATGATCCCAGGAGAAGAGCGCCCGAGAACGCGGATGTGAAAACAAGTAATCAGTTCTCCGAATTGATACGCTTCGATAAACTCCAATAAAATAATATATACACACACTCTCCGCTTCTCTTTCTAGTCACGGCTATGTTCTTTCTATTTTCCTTATTTTGGCTGCGAGAATACGGAAAACTTCCGACTAGGGTTTTGCTCCTTCCTTTTATTAGGTGTCCATATTCAATAAACCCCTTGACAAAAATCTAACTGCAACCAACCCCTTAATAAGCAAAAATATGCCACCATAGCTATTATTCTTCCTTTGCATAAAAGTCGTCTTCCACGCTTATAATTATAAATTAATACCAGGTTTTATACACGTGCAATGCACGTAGTTAAACACCATAATTGAGTATTTTTAGATTATTTCCTAACTAAAATTTGTTCCTCGGTTCCACTTTAATAGTTTATGCATGCTCACTTTTGTCTCTAAACTTTAATGTTGCGATTATTTATTTATTTTTTGACGTTTGTTTAAATGGGCTACACCCAATTTAATTTTTCATGTTGATATTTGAATTTATAGAAAATAAATATAATTTGAAGCTAATTTAAAATTTTATATTATTTTGACCGATATGATACTAAGCTTTACTTGAGAAAGTATAATGTTGCAAAAGTAAAAAATTATTAAAATAATATTATACAATGAAGGTGAATATTTAAAACCAATAGGCAAAATGATTAGTTAAAAATATACTAAAACGATACAAAAGATAATATAAAGTTTGTTCCTAATAATTGATAGACTTCATAATAAATTATAAATTAAAGATTAATGCTAACTCTAGTATACTTTTATATGATAAAAGCAACTGCACAAGCATATAAAAATACTGAAAAAGCTAATGAAAATCCCTTCTAAAGATTCTTAAATTCACTCAAAATAGTTAAACTATTTTATAAAGTATTTAGAAAATATTATCTTTTATTCTTTATGTTTTATTTTTTTTATTGAGCTAAAATCAATCCTTCCTCACCTTTATCTTTTTCACGGGTAATTCTAGAGTAGTGTCTTCATCATTTATTCGATTGTGACATCAGGGTAGAGTTGTATTTTTTGTGCTGTTATCTTTCTTGGGCTCGTTAATCTTTTATCTTGTCGTTTAATTTCACAAAGAAGTTAAATATATTTTCGATGTTCAACACAAACTTCTTAAAATACAAACTTTTATTTTTGTTATTATTTTAATAAGAATAAATATTAATCTCATGTATATGAAATGCTTTGAGTTTCTAATTTATTACTTAAATAAGATTAGGAGTTACCTCTTTTTTCTCTATAATGAATTCTTCCGATGTGCATCCAATAAGAGTTTCTATTACGTCAATAATATTACATTTGTTTTAACCTTACCATTTTTCACAAAGATCTAAACTAAATACCTGTATTTTTATGCTAATTTTTCTTAGATTATAATATTAATATTTAATTTATTTAGGATTTGAAGAGCAAAGTATAAAATTTATGAATGCTTACTAATTTTTCTTATATCTTCTATAGAGAATTATTCTTTGATTAAGATAAAGTTATTAAATTATTCTTCAATGTAACTCAGTTGATGCTTCTTTAATAGACATGTCTTATGTTAATGCTAATTCAAATGATTCATGGACGTTTTTTTTGAATTTTAGATTTATTTTCATCTCTTTCCCATTTACAATGGAAATAGTTTGATTCTTTTGAAGGATATCTCTGAACATTCTGATCGTATCTCCATACGTAATTCATTGTATTCTTTTACTATATAAATATTATTAACATCGCAGATTAATGTTTCTAAATTATAATCAATTAATGTTAAGATATTATATTATTATCTTTTATCATTTTTATGGATTTAAACATCTATCAATTAATGTTACTTATGTGTTTTGCTGCTCTAACTTATTAGTAAATTTTTATGCATTTGCTTTAATTTATATGGTAACAATAATTTTTAAGCTATAATATTTTTTAATTTTTTATTTCCTAATCGGATATTTTTAATCAATGCATATATATATATATATTAATAAAAGAATACCTAACAACTACACTTTTCTTTGCCAAGTTTTAAATTTTTAGCCTTTTTTTATGGTTTTAAACTTTAAGGATGTGATTTGTAATTTTTAAAACTTTAGGAAAAATTTTTAAAAATTATTTTTTAGTTTGGTAGTTGTAACTTCTATGTTTCATGTATCGGTGATAATTTTAAATGTCACGGTATTTCTTACAACTCTGAAATTTTTTGAGGTTGTTTTTACAATTGTTAAAACTGTAGATTAATTTTTAAAATTTTAAATTTCAACAGTCTACCAATAGTTTTTAGATTTGATGTGTATTGGTTATATATTTTAAAAATTTAGAGTTTTTTTATTTTTAAATTTTAAAAGAGTTTTTTCTACAACTTTTGTAACTTTAAGGTTACTTTCAGCAAATTTTAAATTTTTAGGTGCATGAGGGTAATATATTTAATCCATCTTTTGTTATTTGTAAATTTTTAAAATTTCAAGGTTGTTCTTTATAATTTGAATTTTTGAGTGTGTTTCTATAATTTTTGAGACAGTGAGGGTGTTAGTTAAAAATTTTAAATTCTTGTGAGGCTACTATTAATTTCATGATTTTAGGTTTGTTGTTTTAAGTTTTGAAGTGTCAAAAATTTCCAGGTGTGTTATGGTAATTCCTTGAATTCATCTATATTGTTTGCAAGTTTTAAAATTTTAGAATTTCAGGTGATTGTTTGTAATTTGAACTTTTGAGAGTGTTTCTATAATTTTAAGATATTGAGATATTAACTGTAAATTTTAAATTCTTCACAAACTACTGTTAATTTCTTGATTTCATATTTGTTATTTTAAGTTTTTTGATGTCGAGATAGTTTTTATAATTTTGAACTTTTCAGGGTATTTTCTGTAATTTTAAAACTTTTTAGGTTTTTTTTACAATACTTTATGTATTATAGTACATTAGCTACGTATAATTTCTTTATCTTAACAAACTAATACTATGAAGATGTTTTATATATTTTATTAATATTATTTTTTTAATTGTTAAGCTATAAATAGTTCACATAGGATTAGGATAGGATATAATTATGATTAGGATAGATTAAGATATAAATGAAATATTTAAAATAGTGAAGGACAATATTGACCATAAAAAGATTTTCATGAACTTGTGTTTTTAAAGAGAGTATGATTATTAACTCTATTGTTTGGATATCTATTTAAACAAATAATAACTTAGACTTGATATCACTAAGAATTTAGGGATATTATAGGAACCAAATTTGAAAATTGCAAATATAACTTGTT